TTTTTTTTTTTTAATATTTTAATAAGGTCTAATAACAAAAAAATCCCTACGTTTAACAGTTCTTACGGAAAATGTTCATACATTTCAATTTTTTGTGTTTTCATCCCTATTTTCATGTTTCGTTGAGGAAAACATCATTTTCACCAATTTGAAACTTAGGAACATTTTGCACACTATAGACCAAACGTAGGGACATTTTGTGCTATTAGGTTTTTTAATAATTATTTGAACTTGCACTTTTTAAAACATTTTATGAGTAAGACTGTAATTAATTTTTTTGTTTTATTTAAATGGGAGGGTATTTTGGTCATTTTACGTTAAAAAATGGTGAAAAGGACGATTAGCGCAAAGAAATGTGGAAGGTAATGGCGAAAATGCCAAAAAATGAAAGGTAGGGATTTTTTCACAATAAACTTGAAAGGTGAGACGTTTCGTGCCAATTACTCTAAGATTTTTAGTTAAAAATAGATGCTAGTGGTATAAAAAGAATGAAATATTTTGTAAGGTTTAGGAACGAGTCTGAAATAAACTAAACGATCAAAAAAATTAGAGAAAAGTTTAGAACGATACGAGTCCTTGTTTGGTCCTCATTATTTTTAAAATATATTTTTCTCCCTTATTTTTTACCACATATTTTTCAATAAAATAATATTATATATAAATTCAATTTTTAAAAATTTTTTAATCATACATTCTCCATCAAAATTCTATTCTAAAATGTATTTTGGGCAAAAAATGTGGCTCAAACAAGCTTCTTCAATGACCTACAAAAAAAAATTGATCCATTCTTAAATAAAGGAGCAAGAAAAGCACAAACAACTTGACATGTGAAGAGCACAACCCTAGTTGATTCGTGACCAAGCGTATCATGAATCAATCGGACACTTTTTAAGCCCCCGTTCGGCCCTATTTTTCTAAATAAAAATGGGTGGAATAATGTTATTTTAAAAAATGAGTAGTTGAAAAAGGAATAATTTTTTTTTTATGTGTAATATTATTTTATGGAAGATTGTGTGATTGAAAATAAGAAAGAGAAATGAAATTTAGCCCTTGTTTGATTCTCATTCTTCTATAAATTCATTTTTCAATAAAATAATGTTACACGTAAATTCAAAATTTTTCTTTAATTTTTAACCACACATTTTCCATCAATCACATTTAAAAATGCATCATTTCACTTAAAAAAGGGGCCTCAAACAAGGGCTAACTTAACGAGGGCCAAATGGGGAAATAATGCTTTGAAGTTTAGTTGATTTTTGTATTTATAAAAAAGAGAAAGAAAGAAAGAAAGATTAGGCACACCTGTACTAACTAGTCAAAGTTGAACGTACATTACACATTATTTTAAAACATTTTATAAGTAATGTAAAAGTAATATTTCATATCAATTTGTTGGAGGATTTGATGAGTCTCGAACAAATTAAAGAAAATAAAATTTAGCACAAAAATTTAAAAAAAGAAAATTGAACTCTCAAAACTCAATTTCTAAAATTCAAATTTTTTGTAACGATGAAATACTATAAATGAGCAATCTTTTTATATTATATTTAATAATAAAATTAATTGTTAATACATAAATTTAAACTTCCGTTAAAATTTTCAAATACATGAATATGAATAAATTCATCTATAATAACTCTAGATTCATGTAATTCAAAATTCATCAAACGAAAATTCATCGAATCTAAATTTATGTGAATGTTAATTAATTGAGAATTAATAACACAAATTTCACAAATGACAATAATTTTGTAATATTTATTATATATCGAAAAACAAAAAGTGAGGTACTATTAAATAATTGAATTGTAGATTGTTAAAATCGTCCAAAGGATAATTCTCATTTTAATATATTATAGATAAAATTATAAAGTGCCGTAACCCTCAAATAATGTTAGGTAAATATAGATCTTCGAAACTCCTCTTGCTTATTTACACCTATATCTTAAATACGTATTTCTTGCTTGCATAATTTTTCTATTTGGAAGCTAAAAATATAAGCCACCGTCTAAGTTCATTTTTAAGAATATGTTTTATAAGATATAATTTTTAAAGAATCAATCATTAAAAATAAGAAATTTTAAATGACAAATGTAAAATTATTTTCCTGATTTTTAAAATAAATTTAAAAAGTAAATTTTAAAGAAGTATACCAGAGCAAATTTCTTTCCTCAAATTCCATTTTTCTTGAATATAAAATTATAAATAAAGGCCAGCTCAATTATTTATTATGAAAATAATTTCTCGATTCAACCCCTTACGCAACCTCTGTCCACAACCTGCTCTCTCTCTGGCCTCTGCAACACTCTTTCCATAATTCAAAGACGCGTCAGTCATTCTCCGTAAGCAATTTTCGTTGATATACTCGCCCCTTTACGTGTATTTAAGATTTTGTTCATTTGATTGATTTTCTTGGTTGATAATGAAATCGATCTTTTGAGGTGGGTCTTATATTCTTTACGCGTTTATCTGTATATGTGACTGGTTTTGTATTGTATAAATCTTGAAATAAAGTTTATTATAGCTTGATTCAAATAAATGAAGCTAAGGCCTTTTCGACTCAGGGATTCCTTGGTGGTTTTTTCAAAGAAAAAAAATGCTCATTTCTATTCAAGATCTTGGGTTATGATCAAGCTAGTATGGATCTATGTGTCCTTAGGATTTTGATATTGTTGCGATTTCATATTATGAGATTATCTAAATTACGTTCTAATTATTGTCTTTGATAAAGATTCTTGAAGCAGTTATCGCAATTTTGCTCACATCAGAGTTATATTTATCTTGTTATATTTCTGTAAAGAGAGACCTACATGTAGTGTCAATGTTTTGGATCTGATAAATTTCATGTTTTGATTGTAGTCCAGTAAGAAAGATTTGATTCTCTTTGCGCGTGACCCGTTCTCTTCTCCAATCCCATTTTTTTAGAACTTAGGTTTATAAAAATGGAGGTTAAGCTATGGAATGACAAGCGCGAAAGAGAGATGTATGATAGTTTTGCTGACCTTTTTGCGATTATAAAGGCCACAGAGAAACTCGAGAAGGCTTATGTTCGTGATATTATTTCGTCTATAGAGTATGAAACTGAATGCCAGAAACTAATTGCCCATTTCAAAACCCTGTCTTCCACATTGAAAGATATTGTCCCGAGTATTGAGCGGTTTCATGAAACTTATAAGATGGATTGCCCGGCTGCTCTAAACCGCCTTGTCACGTCTGGGGTTCCAGCCACAATTGAGCATCGAGTGGCTGCAGCCATGTCGGCTACCTCCTCTGCCTCCAGTGTGGCTGAATGTGTGCAAAATTTTATCACGGCTATGGACTCGTTAAAATTGAACATGGTTGCTGTTGATCAGGTTCATCCATTGTTGTCTGATTTGTCGGCTTCCCTCAATAAGCTCACCATATTGCCTCCTGATTTTGAAGGGAAGATGAAGATGAGGGAATGGATCGCTAGGCTCTCGAAAATGGGCGCTGCTGATGAGCTGACTGAGCAGCAAGCTCGGCAGCTGCACTTTGACTTGGAATCATCTTACAACTCTTTTATGGCTGCATTGCCTACTGCAGGGACTTAATTCAAGGTTCTCAACCAGCTACACTTCGAATTAGAATTGTCTTAGAACTCTTCTATAGTGGTGTTGCCCACTGCTGAGACTTAGTTCTTGGTTCTCAGTAAGGTTGTAAATAAATGGGTACATTTGTTTCTGTTAACAAATTCCAAAAATTTCTGAATTTTGCATTTAGTTGGAACTCAATGGGATCTAGCAATTTGGAAGGATATTTATTGCTCTTCTACTTCTCATATGCTTGAGAAGGTGGGATTTTTGCTAATGTGATCAATATCTCTGTTTCATCTGTAAAATGCTGTCTTCTGTTATGGAAATTAATTGTGTTGAAGAAACATTGGAACATATTCATTATTCAGTATAACTTAATATTTGTTGGTAACTGTATACCTTCCATGTTTATGATTATTTAGCTGTCATTTAATGTCTTCTCCCAGGTTAATTTTGGCAGTGTTTAAAAATCGACCCTTTTTCTGCATCTTGTTGTCCTAGTTGTTATGTCTTTAATTTAGCATGTTGAGAAATATTCAGACTAATATATAATCATAGGAATGAATTCTAGCCTTAAGGCCTCGGATATCTCATTATTTGAGTCGATAATTTGCAAGTTTTACTTATCTTTCTTGAAATCGCTTGGTCTTCGTGATAAAGTTGGAGGGTATGAATTGTTTCTGTTGAATATCGGTCAGTTTTCTCCTCTGTTCCTGATATTTTGCACTTTCTCCCCAAAAACATGAAAGTAGCATTTGCACTGCAACATTGATTTATTGTCAAGTTTGCCGATTTTGCCTAGTTACCCTTTCATGCCCATGAGAACGTGCCAAGCATTTGGGAGAATGTATACCCCGTTTCTCCGTTGGGATTACTGAGTTGTTGATGGGCAAGATGTTCTCTAGTGATATGAGTTGTGTAATTTTGACGTAGTTTTCTCACTGTTCAATGATCTTTACTTTGAATGAGAGATGAACTCAACGAAGTAAAGTGTTTTTTTCTTCTTTTAAGTGATTTGGCAATTTTTGAGCCAATTCTAGTACCCAACTTCCGTAGAATGTTTTATATTACAATCTTAAAACTCTTAGATGAAGAGTTTGTGCTCTAACATTCTTTGTCATTTTAAACAGTGTTTCAGTTACAGGCATAATTATTTGAGTTGGTTCAGTGTTGTACTACTGCGGTAGAGATCCCCTTTAAGGTTGTACATGGTTTACATAGTTTGTTCTGATCATGATACGAGCAACATTTTATCTCGTCTAGGCTCGTATATGCGCAAGTACACATATACCCAATGCAACATTTTCTTGATCTTGCTAACTCTGAAATTGGGGTTTTTGACTTGTACCTCCCTGTGCGACCAGAAGATTTGATGGCTTTGCGTCGACTTTTTTACTACGGAGAGAGTCAAGTTCATCAATGATCGATAACCTGTATTTGCACATCTAATCTTGGCTAGAACATCCAGGAAAATTGGTTTTCATATACTTCACGAGGATCAACAAAGCAGTCCTCGGAGACTCCATCGGCAATACAAAGAATGTTAATAAAGACTAAATGAATGAGAAAATAGAAAGAAAGAAAAAGGAGAATCAAAAAATAAGTTAAATACGACTTAAAAAATAAAGACAAAAATCTGCATCCCCTTCTCTACCCCAAATTTCCTCTCATTTTTAATATGACTTCAATTTTATTTATTTATTAGTAATATATAATCGTATTTTCACTTAGAACAACATAAAAACGATTTTCTAACGGACAGAACCTATAAACTAGGCATGCTTAAAGACCTTGAGACTTGAGATTGAAATGTTTAATGAAAGGTTGGAGATTAACTTGTTATTGTTACTTAAGTCATAAATTGAAATTCGGGTGCAAAGCATTTATTTTAATCAAGTATGTTCCCTCGTTTGGGTTGAATTAATGATTATATTTTTTTTAAGAATGTATGGTTGAAAAGTAAGAAAATGTTTTAAATTTACGTATAAAAATATTTTATTAAGAGAATATTTGGTTGAAAATGAGTTTGAAAAAAAAATGAATTATTAAATTAATCACTTAAACGTAAAATAGTGTAAGATGGAGCATTATCCATAAAATGGAAATACACATATATTTTAATTAGACCATATTATTTTTAATAAATATGAAAAATATATTAAAATAAAAAGGTTATTTTTAAATACTGTTGTCTCTAAGGCTCAACCGTTCAATTTTCCTTAATTAGACTAGTTTTCGTACGTTACAATCTTATTTTCTGTGAGCACAGATTCCCAATTTCACTCCGCCACCCGTGAAATCCCTCTTTCCGTCCGGTTGTCAGTCGCAGCTAGTGGTTCGAAACCCTAACTGTATTCGCCGTCCCAATTAACTCGAATCAAAAGCCGATTGCCGATAATGAACGGCGGCGTTTCAAGATTCGAGAACTCTACGCCTCTCAAGACCGGCGCGTTCACCAAGTCTGCAATGGCGAACGACGTCGCGTCGCTTAAGCCGCCACCCCCGTTAATCATCGATCGGTTCAGGGGCATGTTGAAGGAGAGAGAGGCGGAATTTAGCGTTTTCAATAATGGAGGCCATGACTCTGATACGAACTTGGGTACCGAGGAAATTGTGCGGCTTTACGAGATTGTTCTGTCGGAACTCACTTTGAATTCGAAGCCTATAATTACCGATCTGACGATGATTGCTGGACAGCAGAGAGCGCATGCCAAGGGCATAGCTAATGCTATTTGCGATCGGATTATTGAGGTATAGCATCGAGGGTATTTTTGGAAATCTCAACAAGTTGTGTAGGGTTTGTAATTGTTCATTCAATCGTCTCAGTTGTATTGGGTGTAGAAGTTTTGAATTGTAGTGTTCAAAGTGCATAAAGATTGAAATTTTACTCTCTTCTTTCTTTCTTTTTTTATCTTTTATCTTTTATTTTTTATTTTTGGTTTTTGAGTTTATTTATACTATGAGTGTGTTGATTTAACAGTGAAGGCAAAAAGAACTATCACAACATATTCTCGGATTAGGGATATTGAATTCAAATTGGGGACTTTGCAATCGATCTCTATATTTGATTTTTAAAACCGCCAATTTTAAGCTGCTAATGCAACCAAACTTGCTTAATAACATAAAAAAAAGATTTTGCGATTTGAGTGGTTAGAAGCTTCAGCATTCTCCAAGATGTCTGTATTATTCACTTTAAATTATAGAGGGAATCAAATATGTGCAGAAAATTCCCAATGCATTGTGTATTTATGCTAATGTTGGCAAGAACACGTATAAATAGATACATGGTTCTTGATTTTTCTTGCTGAATTGAAAGAAAAGAATACTACAAGAGTGCTGCTGAAGATCAGAGCTCTACGTGGTGTTATTCTTTTGATATCCCTTTGAAGAGTTCCTGTAACCTTATTCTCCTGACAATTCTGGGCACTTTTGAAAGTTTATGACCGAAATTATAACAAAAAGTCTTAAGTAATATTTTATAGCTAGAATCTGTGTTCCACTAATATCACTTAAATTGTGTAAAATGCATCTCAGGGTCCTTTTTTTTTCTTTTACAGTAATTCAAGTTTCGATGTGCAAATTTTAGTATTAAGGTTCTTAACACTTCTGAGTTCGAGTGTAATCTATATGCATCAATTTAATATTCATTCTTGTTTGTCTATTGGCCACGGATATATAAGGCTGCAAATCTGATCTTAAGGTTCAATTGTTGCTAAGCATCTGAATGAGTTGGATAACACTCATCACTGCTAATTGTTTATAACTTCTGTCCAGAACTTTCATGAATGACCAGCAATCTGCTTCAATAATGACCCGATGTTTTATCTAAGGATACATAGATGAACTTTACTACCTGTAGGCTGTAGCCTTTGTTTAGTTTGCTTATATTTTTGTTGATAAATAGTGTAGGTTTATCATTCATTTTACTCAGTCAGTATGTGGATCTTTTCAATCTTAATAGATAAAAATATATTTATATTGTAGTCAAAAATCTTCACCAGGTTGTTTGTTGTATCTACTGCTCTATCATAACTCGTACTTCCTCTTGCCAAATATTCTAGAGGGACATCTATTTTCCATTGGATGTTTTGTGCTTCATTTCCTGATGTTTGTCTTTTTCAGGTTCCAGTTGAGCAAAAATTACCTTCGCTGTATCTTTTGGATAGTATTGTGAAGAATATAGGCAGGGATTATGTTAGACACTTCTCTGCACGCTTGCCCGAGGTAAATAAGTTAACTTCGTTCAGTGCACACATTGTCATAAGTGTCATTAGTTCCTGTAATTTAATATACTTTGACTTCTCATTTTCTTTTCGCTGCCAAGGTCTTCTGCGAGGCCTACATGCAAGTCCACCATAGCATGCGTCCTGCTATGCGCCACCTTTTTGGTACCTGGTCGACAGTGTTCCCATCATCAGTACTTCGCATGATTGAGGCGCAGTTGCAATTTTCCCCTGGTATAAATAATCAACAACCTGGTTTGGCTCCCTCGAAAGCTTCAGAATCTCCACGCCCAACACATGGCATACACGTAAATCCTGAATACTTGGAAGCACGGCATCAGATTGGTCATTCAACTATAGACACAGTAAGCTTTGAGTACATCAATTTATTAAAATGTACGTAGGAAGCCTGTGAGGATCCTATACTATCCTGTAAAACAGTATATGCTATTTATGATATGGAACGGCTACAGGAGCTGGTGCTTCCCCATATATATATATATAGGCCATATTGATCTTGCGAAAATATCAATTAAAGAACTTTATTTGCTTTAGTATAGAAAAGTTTTGTTTGTTTGAGATTTAAGTCTAAAGAACCATATTTCTAGTATTTGCTTTGATCTCTCCTAATGTCCCTTTGTTCTTTCAGTCTCTTCCATTATTTGTTGGTTTAAGCTTGTTCCAGCGTGCCCCATGCCTTCACTTGAAATTTTTGCCAATCCTCATTGAAGGAGGTTCATTGCACCTGATGGGAACTTAATCAATTATTTCTTTCTTTGAGATTTTTTTTTTACATTTGTGACCATCTTAAAATGCATCACCTGTAGAGGTATTCTAGTGTTGAATAGTCTTTTTAGGAACCTGTCACTGGATATGATCATTTTGTCTTCTGAGTTTACTGTGGTGTTCAATTTGCAGGTTGGAGCCAAAGGTTTAAGCTCATCTGGTCGGGCATGCCCAGGCCGTACAACTTCGCCATCGCACCAATCACTTGATGCATTTGGTGTGGACAGTTATCGAAGGGTTGCTGAAACGGCCTCACCATCTAATTCTAGATTTGAATATGGGCTTAACAGAGTGACGGGCAAAGAAGAGGAGACAAATAAACTGCGAGCAAAAAATTGGCATGGCGAATCTGGTCAACGTCTTAAAAATCCAGCTGTACTTAATAAAGGAGTTGATCTTCAAGGACCTAGAGCCTTGATTGATGCTTATGGAATTGATCACAGGGAGAAAAAATTGAACCTTAAACATATAAAGGTTGAGCAAATGGGCATAAATGGTTTTGACCAAACAACAGCTTCCAGGACATGGCAAAATACTGAAGAGGAGGAATTTGATTGGGAAGATATGAGTCCAACTTTAGCACCCCAGAGCAAGGACAGGTTTGCTACACAACGTGCTGCGTCTTTGGTGACTAATTTCAGAAGCAACTCGTTAAGTGCGCAATTTTCTTCCACTTCTGATTCTTCCATTTTTGAGGGTGTTCGTCCTGTCAGTGTATGGTTACTTATCTTAATCAACCTATTTTTTCTTATGGTATTCAATTCAAATATATATATTATTTTATTTTATTTATTATTATTATTATTATTTTCCTGAAGAGGCTTTGTGCTTGTTCTGTAAAGATTTTAAGTACCATGTTATCGTTTGCTGCCCACTTGTCTCTTCTGTTAATTTCATGGATCTGAGAAGTTCAATATTGCTTTGTGAACTTTTATTCATCTGATCACAAGCTTTCTCTTTGCACAGCTCAATCTGGCTACTCTCCTCTTTCCTACTATAACACAGTGCAATTTATTTTATATATTCAGCCCCTGTTTGATTCCATTCTAAATTACTTTAATTAAATTATTTCTCATATTCATTTTCAACCACACATTCACACAATAAAATATTCTACAAGTAAACCCAAAAACTTTCTTTACTTTTTAACCACACACTCTAAAAATACTATTCAAAATATACTATTTTTGAAATAAAGGCCACCAAACAAGGGCTTAATGTTCGTGGTTGATGTTATGACCTCGACGTACATGATACATGTATATTCTCCCACACCCTGACTTGATTGGATTCAGGAGCCCTGGCACATGTTCTGTTGAAGTATTTTATTCTTTCTTGTCTTCTTTTGTAACATGAAGGTCTATTTTTATTATTATAATTATTTTCCTTTTGCTTCTTTTTGCAGTCTAGCCATGGAGGAATTAGTAAGATTACTGGTTCACACAGGGCCTCAAATCAGATAGCTGCTTCTAGTTATATCCAAGAATCATGGAATTTACCATATCAACCTTCGCAACATTATTTGAATGCCAAAGAAGGTAGTTTGCATTCAGGAATTGGAGCCTTTTCCACAGCTGATGAGCAAAAGCCGCCTACAATTGGAAATTTCTCTAGTGTAGATGGACAGTTTTTTGGGTCGCACTCTGTTGTTGACTCTTTAGCTCCTGAGATTCGATCAGCTGATGCATCTGGGTTAACAAAGGTATGGCATCCTGCAAGGTTACAGAATTCATACCCATTGCCTTCGCATTCTGCTCTTCCTCCAGAAATGCACATCAGGAGTCAATTTCCTATTAGTGTCAATATCAGCAAGTCAATTCCTTATGAGCAGCATCTGGACAAAACTGGCATGTCAATAAGCAACTTGCCTCGAGCTCCCAGTCAGTTCTCCCGACCAGTAGTTCATCCACATCTACTACCACCTAGAAATAATGGATACGCTGCACAAGGACGTGGTCCTCCTATTGGTATAGCCTTGTCTAATCTAGATCCGGTTGTGCAATCATCTTTGCCTATCATCAATGCCCCAAACACATCATTCCATTTACCAGGGACAGCTATTCCATCTTTACCCAGGGGACCACCACATGGCACAACTCAATCAATACCCCCTGGAAATAATGTTCAAGTTGCCCCTAACCCTCCAGCACAGGGTGCACTTTCTGGTTTAATTAGTTCTCTCGTAGCGCAAGGTTTGATATCATTGACAAAACAGGTATGCATTTAGGTCTTTTGAATGGGATTTGCTTTTTTGAGTTAAAAGTTTTATCGATAAAAGATTGTCACAGCCTTCTGATATAATTAATAGGATTCTGTGGGAGTGGAGTTTGATCAAGACCTTCTTAAGGTGCGTCATGAGTCTGCCATAACTGCTCTATACACTGATCTTCCCAGACAATGCAAAACATGTGGCCTTCGATTCAAAAGCCAAGAAGAGCATAGCAAACATATGGATTGGCATGTCAACAAGAACCGGACTTTAAGAACCCGTAAGCTGAAGCCTTCTCCCAAGTGGTTTGTCAGTGTCAGTATGTGGCTCAGTGGGGCCGAAGCAGTGGGGACTGAAGCAGTTCCAGGGTTTTTACCGGCTGATGATGTGGAAATGAAAGAAGATGAAGAAATGGCTGTTCCTGCTGATGAGGATCAGAATGCTTGTGCATTGTGTGGAGAGCCTTTTGACGATTTCTATAGTGATGAAATGGATGAATGGATGTATAGGGGGGCTGTCTATATGAATTCACAAGCCGGATCAACTGCAGGGATGGACAGGTCACAGCTAGGTCCTATAGTACACGCTAAATGCAGGTCTGAGTCTAATGCTCCAACTGAACATTTTACAAAAGATGAAGAGGTAAGCTGTCTTAAATTATTGATATGAGTTTATATCTTGCTTGTAGCAGCATTGATAACAGTATCTGGCTTCTTTTTCTTGTAACTAGTTTTCAGATATACATGAATAGTCCTTGTGTATTCTTTTATTTGGATAATTCTGATTGCAAGTTTTGTAAGCTGATTCCTAGTTCATTTTAAGTAAAATATGCACTGCACTTTGCCTGAATTCTGTACTCGTTGAACAGGTAGCATAGATGAAAATAATGTAAGCCTATCACGGAAATGCTAGTTTGAATGCCCAGAACTTCAGCAGTTGTTTGTATCATCAAGAAGCTACTTATCTCCGAGAGACTTCTATTTTCACTTGCTTCTCTCGAAATTATTATATTATTTTCCTTCATTGAAAACTGAAATACTTTTATTGCATTTAATAATGGAGAGCCAAATCCACTCTCTAATTTAAAATGTTAATTTAAGGAGTCTCTTGGAACATATTTTCAAGGTTGACTCTCTAAAATAGAAAGTATTTTATGTTTAAAATGTCTCTAGGAGATGCTCTTAAGTTTGATTTACAACTCTCTGATGAATTATGTTGTACAAAATGTATTTGCATGATGAGCATTCACGGCCACTGATCATTATGTTGGATATGTTGCATGAGTTCTATTAACTATTGTCCCTTCTCTAGTTTTATTTGCAGGAATTAAGTGAAGAGGGTCGTCAAAGGAAAAGGATGCGGAGTTAGCATCGTTGGACGTTGTATGTCTCCTGCGTAAATTAGTTATACATTTCTTCCACGTTATAGTTCAGTTCAGTAGCAGCCAACACTTATTTAGACTTGACAGAGATTTGTAATTTGTAATTTAGTAATGCCTGAGTTTTTAATGATCTTTAGTGCATGTTTGGCACACGATATTAGACCATACCAAATAGTTGAATAAATAAGATTGTAAATAAAGAAATATGGCTATATAATTGAGATTAGAAAATAAGGAAAGTCAATCTATATAAATGAGACAGAGGAAGTATTTATTTGCTAAAAATGATGCTCGGGTAAATGTGAAATTGAAGTTCAAAATCAATGAATTGGAAAATGTTTGTGTTTGAGGAAAAATTAATTAAGTTTGTTCCACATAAAGTTTAGCATGTAAAGATTACTTTATACACGAGTATACTTTGAAAGAGTGTAATCATGTGTAACATAGATGCTTTCTCAATGTGGGAGTGCAGGTGGTGCCAATCATAGACCGAATTAACACTTTGAACCTTGAATATTGTATCTTAGAAGATAGACGATCGAAACAAAATCTCGAGCATATACATTGAGGAAGCGAATCTGTTTTAAAGACAATACTGTATGATACGTAGACCTCGGTTTGCAAATTTATTCTCCTTTTAGCGATTCAAATATTTCTGCAATTTTATTTCCTTTTTTGTTCTTTCTTAAATAATTAAAAATTGTTATGTTTTGCAATATATTGTAACACGACAATTATGGTGACAAAATCCGAATTTTACTTGACTTGCACGACCCCAAGGGCAATACGAGGAGTTTTGACACGACTTTTCGTGATCTAAAATCTTCTCCTATACATGCTACTGGCTACATGTCTTTAACATCAGAAGGGGTTGACAAATCATCAAAATGCAATACAAGTATACAAATTCTCTCACCTAGTTTTTGGGGGGCAAGAAGGAAGATGAATGTGAAAAACTTGAAGATTCAAAGTCAAGATTGAAGATTCAACTTTAATCCCTCTTTCATCTTTTATTATTCTTAAATTCATTGATGTTGTTCTTAAACTTCATATGATCGTGCTTGATGAACATGCTCGGTGCCCTTAAGGGTATGGAACCTTCTTAGCATGCTATGCTATACGATGACTTGGCTCCAGATGGCGAACTCGGTTGTTAGGGAACATTAGCAGTCAGTAAAGCTTTACAACAAAAAAAATAGCAAAAGGGCAAGGATTTTCGCGGGGCATCCCAGATATCATTTCCTTATAGCCGTTGGAAACACACGATGAGGAGAAAACTAGTTTTTCAAAAAACTCTAAGTCGAGATTGAGTTGTGGTTC